GATGAACGGGTTTAAGAGTTTAAGAGTTTAAGAGTTTTTAAGAGTTTTAGCCAAATGCATTATAATATAGTATAGATATATATAAATAATATGCTTATACGAGCAAAACATTTAGATTAACATTGTACAATGCTAAAACAATACAAAAAATTATTCATAAGGAAAAGGGTCCTTCATTAATGTTTGCCAATCCTGGTTTTTAAATTTTTACTCAATGTATATACTACTTAACCACTACACTCTAAGCATGCCTACTAAAGAATGTCAACCATACAACATTTCCAATCTCTTCCAATCTGTTGCTGCATCACAAAGTGAATATGGTGTTCCTAGTCTACATTATAACTAATTGCTTTAAACAAAACCAAAAAAAAAAAAAACTAAAATTGACTCACATTTTGTCTGTTCCCCCCCCCCCCCCCAAAACAGGTATCGAGGATTGTCGAAGAAGTAAACGTGAACTTTGAAATTTGAATGAAATATTAGAAAGTGGGATCAGAACTAACCTGAAGAAGCAGTCAACATTTACGGGTTGTACATTGTGCTTTTAACTTGTTATTAAGAGATTTTTTAAGTTTATGCATTAAACAATAATATATTATGCTTTGTGTGTTGTAATTAAGAGTTTTGGGGCAAATGTTTTTTAATACAGTATAGGAGTATAGATTTTGTTTTAGAAAGATAAAAAATAACCTTCACATCCAATTTAACCACCATCCCTTCCCCGCCCACACTGCTCATCCCGGCAACATATCCATCATCGTTGCCTCCGCCGCCACCACCACCAATTAATATTATAATTCCACCACCGCCACTGCCACTGCCACTGCCACCCACCATCACCGCCCACCACTATTTTTTTGCCATCAAGTCACCACCCACCCTCACCCTCACCCTCACCCTCACCCTCACCCCCAACACCACCACACGACCATTGTTGTCGTTACAACGTCATGCCCACCCCCCACAGATGCATGTTTCTATTCTTTAGCGAGATTTCATTCCAATTCTTGTCAACCAAACGCATGGTCAAATTCTTTTGATGAATTCTAATTCCACCAAATTTCATTCTGTGAACCAAACGCTCTTTAAATTCCCCTCATGACTGCATTTACTTTTGCTTCCCGGTCTCCATGAATATGTTTGGTCGCTTCTCTATCTACATCTATAGGGACATATCTACATCTTTAGGGACATAATTTGCCAATCCGAGCCCCAATACTTGGGAACACACTAGGCCCATGCTCAGATCTTGAAATGATCGAAGAGAATGCTTCTGATCTTGATTGTATCAACAATATTGTTTGAATCAAGAGATATAAGCAAAAAAGTAACCGAATGGATGAACCCATCCCTCCACTTCTCTTCTACTTTATCTACGTTTGTCAGACACAAAATTTAGGGTTTGATTTCGTGTTTGAGTTTGTACAACTGTATTATTTATGTTGATATCTTTTTAATATTCCTAAGATGTTTATGATTGGATTTTACAGTAGTTTTCAAAAGTAAAAAAGTAATTATTTTGTCCCAATGTGATGAAATTTATGAGGTCAAAAGTAACAACCATTGGTATAAAAAAAAAAATAAAAAAAAAAAACCTTCTACCTTCATAATTTACCCTAATTAAAATCATTAAAATTTGGGTTATAAAATAAACAAACGGCTTAAGGTGGTAGCCGCGCCTTGACCTAATCGGCTATTCCAAATAAGCTTATTAATCTCAGCCGTCTATTTCTGAAACCACACCTGAACCATCGGATGTAACAGGTTCAACCCTCTATATAACAACCCTTCTTTCATCCCCAATCTCAAACCTCCATTTAGGGTTTACATTTCACAAGCTGCTTCTCTCTCCCGCCGTTGAAGGTAAGGGAATCCCCTTAGTCAATTATCTTGTTCATATTCAGTTTTTTGTGCTTGTGATTGAATTTTCCAGGCTTCGCTAATCTGGTCGGCATGAATTTAATTAGTTTCTGTCTGACTCGTTCCCTAGAAGCAAGATCAAGCGTGCTGTTTTAATTTTTTTCAAATCTTCATTTGGTTTTCATTGGAGAACAATTGAGCAGCTACATTGATTTCGAGTTTACACACATCACACAAGCACTAATTCTGTAATTTGAAGGGATATTGTTCGTAAGTGGGGGAGTAATCGACTATGATGAGCCAATAACAGACCTGTAATGACTTGCGAACATGATCGCATCTTATGAACATCTAAGGGACTGAGTCTCGGTTTGCTCCTTCTATATTTAAGTTGATTTCCATTTCACAAACGGTTCTTAATTATACGATTTTGAACGTCTATTATGTTCGTGGCTTCATAAAAATTGAATGAGGATTTGCTGAAACTGATTAGTATCGGCAAGTTTTGATGGAATGAAGCCTACAAAAATTGTTTCCCTCGCTATCCGGTGTTATTCTCAATGTTGCATTTGGACGTTGGGAAACTACATCATCGTATAATTTTTCAAATTCTTCATTACTTTCGATCTATTCTCTTAATTATTTGATTGATATGATTTGAAACTGATGTGATAAAGCTGCTTGCTAGTGATTATTTATTTAATTGGTACTAGTTGTCTACCCGCGCTAGAGGTGGCCAAAATTCGGTCCCGGGCCGGGCCTTAACCGGTCCCTAC